AAATCAGTACAATATACAAGTATATACAGACGGCATAATATTGCTGTGTCACTCAGGCATTTCTATTATGTGACGGAAAGTATTTCTACTGAACCTTATGCTAGACTGCACTCATGCCATAATCAGTATCGAAAATCAGTAGCGTCTTCTAATAAATGTGTGCCAACTAGAGATGACGCAACAAACGGTTACTGAATGTAATGATGTGAAGTACAATTTGTAAAATTTAAGTTTGTGTTAAACGTGACCACATATTGGCCTCCTTGCTTGAAAATAATTCAGTTACATGTGCTCTGCATCATTGTTCTCCAGATTTACATTAACAAAACGACGTATAAATATACATTAAAAAGGTACACAGCGTTTTTATTTAATAATGAGTAAAAGTGATTAAGTATATTTTGACCAACGCGATCTTCAATCTGTCTAGACGCATAGGACCGGGCACAGTCACCGTTGGTGTCGTTATAAAAGTCCCAGATATCTACTTCGTGTTAGTAAAAAACGGAGTAGTTAAATTTGGTGAACAGTTCCGTGTTGTAGAAGCGTGTACACCTTTCTAATTAACACCATAGACAGGTTGCAACACGAGACCGATAATATGTTGTTGCGGTGCTTTATGATCAATGCTTTTGATTAAAAATATAACATGAGATGTGCCTACCTCACAACCATTAACGCTATTCGCATATTTTGTAAGCTTGCGCATGTTTGGCCTCGTCGTGTATAACACCACGCATACGAGAATATTACAGTTAGTGTCACATGTATTCGAAGGGAGGGCATACAGGTACTTCTTTACTCAGCTGTCTCAGAGTCTTTATATTTCAGCAGAAAAGTTTCGCAACACTGTTTATGTATGTTGATGTGAACGCCATGGCAAAAATAGCTACTCCGTCTGTTCTTTTGGAGAGTCCTAAAGGACATGTCAATTCCGAACGCCGCGGCGAATGGCTCGCAAAAAACACAGATGGTTAACATTGGGGCTCAATAAAACCAACTAATATGTGATCTGAACATTTTGTTTCCCTACAAATTGGGGTCAAAACAACACATTTTCTGTTCATGCATTCGAAATATATATATATATTTTTAACATTATCTTCAGGGTAAAGGCTGCTTGAAGACCTACTGGTTAACTGGTAAAACTACTGAACCTATGTCGAACACGCACTGAATAACTTCATATAATATATTGTATAAATTGTTATATTAATTCAACACTTGCATAGTCAAGATATACAAGATGAAAAATGAGGAAGATGAAGAAGATGAAAATCTTGCTGCACTCACTGAATTGCCCGCAAAAATACGAAGTAGGTTTCCCAAGGGGACAAATCTCCGCCACAACACTTATTCTCACTGATACCACTACCCTGTTGTACATGTGTCGAAAAATCTCTCTCAAAATCCAAACGGTTGCACCCCCTCCGACCTTCTTCTGAACATTTCATGAACATTCTTCCATAACTTTTCGATGAACATTGTTGTACGCTTGAAAACCAAACGCAAACATAATCTATTTGGCAGAAGAAATTAATTTTATTATAAGATTGTATATAATATATTTTACTGCAGTGGTCCTGTGGACAGCTGCCATCTACCCGATTATTTAAACATGTCGTTATTATTCTTACATAAACAAGGCTGTAGTGCACAAAATACTAGAAAGTATTGTATTCTGTTTCAAAAACATTGCTTCATCAAACAGCATATCCAAGTTAAAATATACAAGTTCTGATAATCAATTGTTTTCCTTTTCAACCAATATAATGTCACAATGAATATATATTTACTAAGAAAGTCTATCACTCGCACTGTAAAATAAACATTTTAATTGAATCACATTACTAGTAGCTAGCAAGTCCTTAAATGAAGTACACCCTTGTTGTGTTAATTTTAACTTTTATTGATGTGAATAAAACTATTGTTTCGCGGTGATGTGTACGTACTATTATTGCTAACTTAACAAAGTGCCTAATTTTTTGACAGTAGGGTCGCAATGACAGGCACATTTTCCAACATAGTCTACAAATGTCACTTAGTATTAGAATCGTATTTCACTTATTATGTTTGTGTCACCTACCCTTCCAGGTGATTGGAGGTGTGATATTAATGTCAATAACCTGCACAAGTTGGTTCACTATTTGCTAGAGTGTGTAGTTATTTTTATGTTGATGGCACTCTTGAGAATGCCATCAATCTGAAAGAAAAAAATGCCATTTGAGATGAAATTAGATTTTCATAACAAACATAAGTAATGATTCTTTCTGTGGGACTGTGAGAAACTGCCTGGTTAGACAATTTACTGGTTTTGTGAGTAACACAACATTCCTGTGAAGCAATCTCGTTTATTTGTGCCATGTAGATGCCTGCAATAAAATGTTTTAAATGGGAATCACAACAAAATCTGTTCATAATGATTAAGTAAACTATGATATCTATGAAAGGAAAGTTTTTGTATAACCAACGAAGTTAAAGTTGACTTCACTGTCAAACTCAACTTCACAAAATTGGCTGTCTTAATAATAAGCAGAAAAATCATGCGTACTTCATCATAGATAAAAAAAATAAACAATTAACTGTGATGTTAACACCTATATACAGCACAGCACATCTGGACAGGAGAGCTCGACAAACAGGAGAGTGGGGGGTGCAGTTACAGCGGACACATATATACCCACCCCGCGTCCGGTAGGCAATTGTCGAGGGACTTTGCAACATCCCCAGACACTTCCCTAGACGAAATAAATTTACATACCCGCCTACATGACAGTTAATCAAAACAACGGACAAGGGATTCAGATGGGTTCAAATTCTATTTTGAACGTTTCGCGAAAATAATATATCTCGTTGATACAAATATTTAAAAACGCTCCTAATATGTAATGAAATTATCAAAATTACGCTCATGTGAACAGTTTAGTTTTGAATGCAGTTTCTGATTTGAACTCATCGTTGACTTTACAATTATTGCTATTATGTCAAAGTGTGTATACGAAGACACTCAGATGGAGATTATTCGCCCCTTGCAAACGGTCGCCGGGGAAGTTGGACTAGCGAGGGCAACGGTTCAAGGAATTCTGCGGCATTTATGTATCATTGGTTGGGTACGTTGACAGGAGTAGCGGCCACCGTTGACAGAAGTCTACATAAGAAATCGTTGAGTTTATCGAATTTCGTCTCAGATGCAAGATATTTAAAACTGGTATATGCTGACGGTGTGGAGGAGAAACTAAGTAGAAGATTCCAGGCAAAGATTGACTGGGCGAGGCAAACTGGCAATGGGACTTGCCATTATGCGAGAAATATAAACCTATTGACAACATCTCAACAAACTATAAATCAAAGGAATTTACATTTTTCATTTCTTGTTGATATTCATTCCCAGTGTCGTACAGTTCAACTACCCCCTGGCCAGACATCAAAGGCAGACCGCGTCGATTTTGATTAACTTCAACTGGGGCGGGTATGTAACTTTTAAGCTGGAGTGTCAGGGAAATTGTCTGGGATGTTGCAAAGTCCCTTGGCCTACCGGTATGTAAATATCTTGCACCTGCTGTAATATACCTCAGATGCAAATGGTCGACAAGATCTTGTTTAGAAGGAGAGGGCCATGAAACTCATGTTTCTCTCCCATCATTGCTGAGAGGCGAAAATAAATCTTGTTGCTCCTTCTTGTTGCTCCCTTGCCAGTGATCAATACTGGTAGAAAGAAAATGTGCTAACTTGTTGCAAAATTGGCTCCAGTGCCGACCCCCTTCGGCAATTATGCCAACAAATTCGAAAAATGAATTCTAGGTTGTATCAGAATCCTGTTTGGATTGTTTAAAAGAGAAGGCTCAAGTTCATGAATGAGACAACGTATGAACTGTAAAAAATAACTTTATTGGTAGAACGCCTGATGAGACGCCTTGTCTCCTACTTAAATACACAAGTAAATATTGGCCTTGTATCTTTAATACAAAAACACAATAAATAAAACAGCAAACAACAAATATGTGGCTAACTCACGCTGGATGAACAATTCAGATCCACAATAAAGTACAATATAATATACACGTTACAGTGCGGCATCCAATGCCAAAAAGGATATGTGACACACATATGAACAAAACTTCCTTTTGAAAAACAAGTATACGAAATGCTCTATCATTGATTTATAAGCAGCTGCACTGTAAAACAAGTGGCATTATATCATTCACAAAAACATTTAGTAGATCGATCTTTAACTTGGTAAAGGCTGCTCAAGAATCAAGATGAAACTGCATAATGTAACAGTTGAGAATACGATGTGTTCCACGCCTCTGTAGCTGAATAATCAAGAATAAGACTAGTTGTGATATCCGACAATTGGCTACAATAGATATTTATCGCACGTTTCCAGTATATTCACCAGGGAGCTACTTTATACAAACCAAATACTATAACAAAGAAGTATTGAAAGTCTTGAACATGAACTACAAAATGGTACATCTCTTACATTCTTTCACATGCCTGGAATTGTTTTATCATAACACTAAAATATAAGAAACAGCTTGATCTAAATGTGACAGCTGTCAATCGATGGCAATTATGATGCCTTTTAAATTTGCATAGACTATGATGCAATTATTTTTTACCTGCGGCATCTGAAGCTTAAACGACATTTGATGCTCAGTTCTTGCAAGTCTCTTTCAAACGTTGGATCAAGTAGTTTTCACCTTTAATTTGGATTCCTATTTGACATTTCCAACTTAATATCTTTATTGATCTTGCGACTGCAACAAGGTTGTTTTATTCATTCAAGTGTTGCAATAATATACCTGGTATGAGAAGCACATTTTTGCAGTTCCATAATTCAATTTATTTAAAAGTCTTTTAAAAGTTTAAAAGAATACTTGGACGTTTCGGGTTATTCATCGAAGGCCTTGCAGGTCGAACATAAGATCAATGTAGCTGCCTGTTTGGAGTAAAAAAAAATAATAATAATCACCAATATGATCGTAAATAAGCACAGTTATTAAATTGCTAATAAAAAAACTAATATCATTTTTAAAATTAACCTCACCTCCAATGTCAAGTAATAGTTCTGCAGTGGTAAATACTCCAAGAGCATATGCAAACTCAATTAACAACAACAAGAACATAAACAACTCCTTTTGTATATGATGTACAATCAGCACATTGGTGCCATCAATTCAAACGGCTACCTGTGTGTACCATTGTCTATTTCCATGGTTGAATATCTGTGAAGTAAAACAATCAGCGTTGTAAAAGACTGGTAAATTCTCTGAGCTTGTACACTCTATTGCCATAGAGTATAAATCTTATGTACACAACATTACTCCTAATATGCACTCTTCAGTTGAACTGTTTTAAGATACTCGATAGCTTTCCAAGCCTTAGAACAGCGGTAGATTACACGTTGTCCTAACTTTATTGGCATATTCATGTATTAGGTCCCACATTTCACTATCCAAGTACATGCAGTCAAATCAAACAGTGATCTGTCACACATGTGAACATGGATACACAATCAGGTTTGAATCTATGTAATGAACTGCAATACATTCATGGGTCAACAGAATTTTTAATATATGGAGGTACCTGTCTGGGGAACATCTTGTCGCTCCATATTAGAAATTTATTGCTAATCTGCACATATTGAGTATAGCTTAGCAACAAATTCTCTGTTGATCTGTTTGTTTTGTTCAACTAACTTTGTGTGCAAACTTAATTTGTACATTATTTTATCTGGAGAATCCTTTTGTAATCTAAAGTATCCTGTTTTTTAGTTGAATGAAGTGCTTAATAAACACAAATAAGTAATTTAAAGCACTTTAATAAAATAAATAAATAATTGTAAGCTCGATAAATATTTCATTGTCGGCACAAACATTCTCCAAGTTTATTGGCATGTGTCCATTAATATCTCATTAATGAGTTGATCATACAAATATTTACCTTTTCAGCTTGATGGAAACAGCTTTAGCATATTTTGTGAAATGATCAGTGAACACAAGGACATCTTTGCATCTTCTTGTTAATGACTTGAACTACTATTGGATAACCACAGCACAAGGCATAATGCACCACCAATTTGATTATGTCCCCACTTCCTATACAGAGGCAATGCTTGATTTAATTTCATATATAATTTCATCCACAAAAGTGGATCAATTTGTGAATTGCAGCAGCAGAAACACATTCTCATTCTGTGAAAGCCTTTTTTATATGTTTTACAAGGCTACTGTACAGTAGTTTTTATTTGACATTGATTCATTAGAAAGCCAGAATAAAATATTATGAATCAGTTTATCAACCATAATACAGTGTAACAGACAAGCTGTTCAAACAGTTACCTTCTTCCATAAGACACCTATATAAGTTTTCACTACTAATGACTACACTAGTAGTTACGACACCAGTTGGCATCTGATAAATTGATATTACTGACCTGAACGATTATCCATTATCAAACATGCCAATTGGTAGAATGTCAAGTCCCAGCTGATATAAACTCCTATGTATATGAAAATGTTGATATTATTGTTTTGAGGTAACCATAGAGGAAATGGGGGTAACCCTATTCACTTCTGTAATTTTTTCTCCATTGTCAAATTGAGTTGTTTAAAAGAGACGTTGCAAATTTCTGATCTATCAGGTTGTTCAGTTGGTTCCTGAATCATCTGCGACAATATAATATCCATGTCAGGCTTTTCCGGGTTCAATAACACCCATGGTGAGGTGGTGTAATATCCTTGCTGCAACATGTTACAGTTATTGTCTTTTTGTATGGGTCTGGGTCCATAATGTGTTTCGGGTAACATCAAAGTCATAATCTGCAGATAGAATTATTTTTGTATTGTTGATGGAAAGACTCATAATTCCAGCCAGGTTAATATTAACAGTGTCTCTTTTTACTGGACTTCATCGGTATTGGTCAATTGCAGTGGGTGTTTATTAAACAAGGACATAACAATAAAGAATTTGTTGGTAAATCCCCAGTCAGCTGTTTATTCAACTCCAAGAACAATATGAGGACACTGTATGAGGAATTTGACAATGATGCCCTATGTGCATAATTGGCTTTCTCATTCTTGTAGTTATTAATGTTGATGAGATATGGAAACACAATAATAATTTCTTTCCATGCAAGTACACGGTTGGCATCAATCAACTCAATCTTCTGATAATCAACATCCACCGTTTCAGCCTGACTGTAGATCAACTTCTTCATTTTGTGTGTACAATCTTAAATAAATTGCTTTTCTGGACATGAGTTGTTGTAGCATTTTGTGAAAAACGAATGCTTGAAACTTGTCACTACTAATACCGCTGCATGGACATGACAGATGGCTTCTCTGCATTTAGAAGAAGGAACAGAGAAGACCAGGAATCTGAATCTCATACAAGAATACCCACTCCCCAAGCAGCGCTGAAGACACCGCATCAAAGTCATGAAAATGTTCAGGAATTACTAGACTTTAAGGCAACATCAAAGTTAATGCTCCACCTAAATGCCTTGATAAACTTACATATTAATGAATATCAACAGGATTTTGCCAAGTTAATAAATGTTGTATTTAATTACAGGCGAATGAGCATACATATATTACAGCACTATACACAGGATTTAAGCTTGTGATCACAACAAACATGTAGCCTCTGTATAGTGTTATACATTATGCATGTAACAACAAAGTCATAATTGATAATCATTTGTTCACGTCTGACTAACCTCTTTCACTCGCTTCACTATGATGATAATCACCATATGAACTACACAACAGCATCCTATCGAAGCTGAACTACAGCTCCTCAGACCGATTAACAGGAGATTATCTCCAATGCATTTACACGGTTGGGGCCAAGATCCGTACAAGTTCGAAACAGTTCTTTCAGAGCCAAACGGGAAAAGTGTTCTCAATTACTAAAACAAAATGGCTAAAAATGATTTTTGTCGTGCTTGTTGTTTCTTTACATGGCACGATGCATGTCAGAGTATTATCCTGCTGAGCTGAGAGAAAAAGAGTCATGAGTCTGAGACAATACACTAATTTAGGTATCTCGAATGAACAGGAAACAGCTAAAATATGCTAAATGTGTAACATCTGATTCGCTTAGATTATTGTCATGCAAATTCACAATATTTTAATTGTTCAGGAGTAACAATTGTCAACCTAACCCTAGTAGGGACACGTCACCATACCGTGACCACTTCTACGATGTCTTTAAAATGTTTCTTTAATTTCCATGGGATCTGTTTTTGTCACATAAATTTGTACATTATTTTTCATGTTTCCCATCGAGCTATCAATCTATCGCAGTATCTTTTTACTAGATATTAGGGCGCGTACCTCTTTATCAAGCCAGAAATTACAAACGATGTTGTCACCGCTATAATTGAAATGAGAGGTTACTTGAAGAAGACAAGGCGTGATTTCAGTCCGATTGTTGGGCCCGATGTGTTAACTCGGTCAGAGCCATGTCAAGGCCCAATCCTATCAGAGTTCAACTCCAAGGGTTCATTGGAACCAAACTTGGCTTGAGCCGAATGTGTATACATGGCTCAAGTCACAGGGCTCTGATAAAATGCTGTTGTGTAAACATAACAATTGTTTAGAAAATAAAATAAACAGAATAAAACATCTTCCTGATAAATTATGACTGATGATCCATTGATCTAGAAATAATTTGCCAGTCTAAGCTAAAACAAAAACATCTAGTATTAAAAAATCAACAAGACAATACATGAAAAATAAATTTAGGAAAAATCTTAAAGATCATCATGCACACACAAAACAACAGCATGAGGACTAATGACCACATACATGCACTTGGCCTTTAAGTTAACCATGCATGCTCTAAAAGACCCATGGGCCTTCACTGAGAAGAAGTGTAAAGTCAGAGGAATATAGTCTATATCCAATGGGGTCAATCTGGCAACGTAGCATCTGAATGAAAGGTAAACCCACAATACCATCTACCTCCATATCAGCTATCAGAGTTTTCACCTTGAAACACTGTTTCTTTATGTGGTACAACAGTTCGGCCTCTCCATGGACATCAACAGTTTCCCCTGAGGTTGCAATACCAATAATATTTTTGACTGGAACTCGGTCAGTTTTGCCCTAGTGGAATGGGGCATTGCATTGTACAGACTTAGAGAAACCATGTTGTCTGTAGCACCTGTGTCGACCATGAATTTACCAACCACTCCTCCTACAGGCAATTCAACATACAAGGCATAGCGTTTTTTGTTGGTCAGGGTTAAAGGATCTTTGTTCCTCTCAGCTGCAGACCATTTAACCAAAGGATGGTTCTTCAATGGATTGGTACTGCCACAATAGTAACATGTGTCAGAAGAGCGCCAAAGATGGTCATTTTTTATTGGTACTTCAGAAAAGAGTGGAGGATGGTCATCACTGATTGGTACTTCAGAAGTGAGTGAAGGATGGTCATTGTTTATTGGTACTTTAGAAGAAAGCAGAGGGTGGCCATTGTTTACTGGTACTTCAGGAGAGAGTGGAGGATGGTCAGCACTGATTGATGCTACAGAAGAATGAGGATGGACATTATTGATTGGTACTACAAAACCAAATTTGTGGATGTCCATGTCAGCTAATTTGCATCTCTGATCATCAATCTCTGGATCGTTGTATGTTGATAAATGGAGATTGTGCTCTCCCTAAAAATGTGAAGATATGTATATATTCACTCAAATCTGTCAATGAATTATCGCATTAATCTATCTGCACATGGAGATGCCATATAAATCCAATTCTGTTATTGGTGTTAAAGTTAGATGCCTACTCATGAATGAAAATTGATCTATATTGACTTCAAAGAAGTTAGCTGATCAATGGTTGTATTACAGTGAATGGTGACCATTCTGTCGGTATTAAAATAGTTTTACCATTGTTTTTGTGTATATTATGGCATATCAAATTTTTGTTTACTTATTTGTTGTCATGTCAACAGATAATTTACCCATTCACAGCAGTTACAAAAGGACACTGCAATTATAGATGAGTAAAACGATTCCCAATGACCAGTTCCATGTAACATTTGGAGGGCACTTAGTAACTTTACTTACCTCAGAAACCATCAGATTTGTTGTAGTTTTACTGGTCAGTTTGTGCAAGTATTTGCCTCTTCTCATACCACTTGTTGCTGACATTTTATTTGTAACTTTGTCCAGTTCTTTGTTAGTCTCCTGGTGGTATTGAGATATCAAGTTAGAGTGTGCCAGTCACAGAGTACTTAAAAAAAACTTTCAGTTTCCCTTGCAACACTGTATGAGTATTCCTTGGAAAATTACTGCCATTGATTGTTTTGAATTTGATATTTTAGTACATTATTTAAAGGATGAAGTTCAAAAAAGCAGTTGTAAAGTTGAATTTCAAGGCATGACTCTAGAACAGCATACGTCCTGGAAATGTTTTAATCCAATTCGAGAAAGATTATGGTTCTATTATGTTCAATGTAAATTCCAGGTCTGAACAATGGCTGTCCATGTATAACCAAAATCCAGGACTGAGTCAGAAATGCTTGATTGCAATGCATTGTTGACACAATATATGATATATAACGTCAAATCATAAGGTCCTGTTTTCAAACATGGACTGGAAACATTTATATACAATCAACTGCATGTTAACTGCCATGAGCACTGCATCCATTTCTGTCGAATCAAACCAGGAATGTGTACTTGCTGCCATATTGAATTGTCAGTAGAGTGTATTGTGGGAAAATAAATAAAAACAATGCTGAAACATGGGTGGCTCAACAAGCACTGCCATGTTAATTTGTTAGGAGTGGCGGTGACAAACTAGACCTACCTACCTCTCCCACATAAATTACTCTACTGTCTATGAAGAAATCCTAAAATAAAGAAACGTTTGTCCCTTTCAATCTCTTTATCCACTCCTACCTCCTACACAGCCGCCTCTGCCCCTATCCCCACAGCACCCCCCCCCCCAAATTGACAATTACCAGTTCAATATACCTTTCCATACTAACACAAAACAAATTCACCATATAGCAATGATTGGCCTGGTGATTTTTATAAGCCATCATCGTTTATCATGCAGTAGTATTGGGTATGTTTACCCATGGGTTAACATCACCGAAAAGGTTCCCCTCATCACCCTCACCACCCAACTAGAAATCTGCCAAAGTGGTTTGTTTGTACACCTTACCTTGACATAATGATGTTTATCCAGCATCAGACTGGCAGCATCTCTTGGTAACTTTAGAGAGTTCACATTTGCATAATCTCTACGTAAACCGCGGCCCCTACCACATGTTTGTGTATATCGAGGTGGTTTGGCTCCAGCATGGTTGTTTTTATGCACAGGATTAACAACATGTTGTTCTGGCCAAGACATCATTATCAATAACAGAAACTGCAAATGAGACATAAAAAAAATATATTACAAAATCAAATCAAAGAAAGCTTAGAAAGAACTCCCGTGTGCTGAGAGTATTGGAGACACATTCAAAATTAATTCAAAATTACTTGAACTTGAGATGTTGATGGAAACGCAGAAAACTAATTATGCAAATTAGGTAACTAATATGAACAGATTTAAGTGTAAAACTAATAAGGTCTGCACAATGTAACAAGTTTCATTGAAATGTGATTAGAACCAAAATAATATTAATTATTATGCTAATTAGAGAATTAATATGAACAGATTTTAACCCCAAATTAATCAGGCTGTCTATTGTCCTAGAGCACTTATGTACCAAGTTTTATTCAAATGTGATGATCAATACTTGAGATATCAGTATTAATTAATTATATTAATTAGGTGATTAAGAAGCACAAATATTTACCAAAAACTTATATGGTGTATAGTCCTAGGTTCATTGAAATGTGATGGGTACTCTTTAAAAGTTTCATTGAAATCCAATGAGTGGCTTTTAACATCAGTGCAACAGCCATAGAACAG